GAACCATCAACGACTGAATCATCAACAACAGGATCACCAACAACAGGATCATCCACAACGGAATCTTCAACGACTGAATCATCGACAACCGGATCACCAACAACAGGATCATCCACAACGGAACCTTCAACGACTGAATCATCAACAACAGGATCACCAACAACAGGATCATCCACAACGGGATCTTCAACGACTGAATCATCAACGACTGAATCATCAACAACAGGATCACCAACAACAGGATCATCCACAACGGGATCTTCAACGACTGAATCATCGACAAGTACACGTAAAGATGAAAATCTTCATACAACTGAATCTCCTTAATATGATTCGTATATAAAAATCCAATAAAGTTTTTTTAAACTGTTGTTAAACCAAAAATTTTTTTTAATAATGAATTAGTGAGCATGCCCAGTATATCAAACAATTTCGTCATTGAGTGTTCGAGTTTTCTAACAAATTCTGATTCTAATCATTCATTTCGATGATTGTTTTCAATGCATATATTTTATCATGGTATTTCGAATTATTTTTAATTTTCTTAGCCGCTTTGCTAACAGCGAACACATGATCCAGAAGCTATCTGAATCTTATCCTATCCGAAGATCAGCTCAAATAATGGCCTATTTTTACCACCGAACTAAAGGAACAATCGAATCGGATTCTTTTAAAGAAAAACTTCCACCTTTAAATAATCGTCTATTAACGTTTAAGAATCGTTTTATGAACGAATTTCGGCAAGAAATGCAGAATGCTAAAAACAAGATCAAAAGATGATGGTCGCATTTCTTTCAATCACTCGTAATCAATGTTGTCAATCATTTAAATTATAATTGTGATATTGAATTGTTTCTGATTTGTAGAAAATATGATTTACAATAATTTATTACCTGTCAAATAAATTAATTTCATCTAGCATAATTTCAATCTCATGTTAAAAATATAATGAAAATTCAATTTAGGCCGAATATAATCGATTGTATCGATTGATGATCAGAACTTTAAGTGTTGAGTTGTACAAGTTTTTTAGTCCAAAACTTGAAATTGTATCAAGATTTCATCATATTCAGGATTCAAAATATATAAAGATAAATTCCATCGAATAATAATGGTTGATGAGACTTGTAAATCAGAAATCGAGTATACCATATTATTGCCGACATATAATGAAAGCGAAAATTTGCCCATAATCGTTTGGTTGATCGTCAAATATTTGAAGTTAGCCTAATTGTTTGGTTTTGTTTTTCACTTATTTGATGAATATTTTTTTCTGACAGAGATTATCAGTACGAGATTATCATCATCGATGACAATTCACCAGATGGTACAACGGACGTGGCCAAACAGCTCCAAAACATTTATGGCGATGACAAAATCGTTCTAAAACCGAGAAAAGCTAAACTTGGACTTGGAACGGCTTATCTTCATGGATTGAAATTCGCTCGTGGCAAATTCATTATTATCATGGATGCTGATTTATCACATCATGTAAATAGAAAATACTCTTAATTTAAGTATTCTCCAGTTGTGATTTTCGACTGTTTTTTTTTCATGTAGCCCAAATTCATTCCAAGATTCATTCAAAAACAAAAAGAAACCAACAGTGATATTGTCACCGGAACTCGTTATGCCGGTGATGGAGGCGTATATGGCTGGGATTTTATGCGCAAATTGATATCTCGTGGTGCTAATTATCTAACACAAGTGCTATTACGCCCTGGCGTTTCCGATTTGACTGGTAGTTTTCGTTTGTATCGACGTGAAGCATTGGAAAAATTGGTCGAGAATTGCGTCTCAAAGGGTTATGTGTTTCAAATGGAAATGATGGTACGAGCTAGAAAATTTGGCTTCAAAATTTCCGAAGTACCAATTCAATTTGTCGATCGTGTCTATGGACAATCAAAAATGGGAAGCAATGAAATCATTCAATTTGCCAAAGGTTTATTATATCTTTTTGCAACTCTTTGAATATTAGGGACACAACAAAAATTATTTTTTTTTATACATTCGCTATTTTTTAAACAATGAGGATTATATCATTTTTTTGATTTTTGATTTAAATAAAAATATTAAATAATTTTGGATACCTGATCTATGAATGGACCAACTGCCGAATGCGATCACGTTTTTCCATGCTTGATTTTACAAGCGAGATTTTTTAAAAATAAATAAAGTTCATCTCTGAAAAAAATATCATCAGAAAAAATGAAAAATAAATCATCAGAACCAAAGTCATCATCTTCATCTAACAATAATGGTGATGGTCAAAAAACAGATGAAAAAACATTTGTCACCGAAGGAAAAATTCATGAAGCTGTTAATGTGCTAAAAAAAGTGATACATAATCGAAAGAATTCAATGAACGATGAAGGCAAGAAACAATTATTCGAGCAAGATATTGATTATGTTTTTCTACAATTTTCATTGAAAAAAATACCCCTTAATAATTCAACATACATTCATCGCATCCCATTAAAATATCATTGGCGAAGTGAAATCAATTATGAAACATGTTTAATTGTTAAAGATATAAATGAAACACCATTAACTGATAGAGATGCGGATTTGGAACAAACAAAAAATTTCTATCGTAATCTTCTTGATGAACATTCAGCAAACGAATTAATAAGCGAAATATTACCAATGCGCCAGCTTCTAACAGAATTTCAGCAACCAGCGCTTCGAAAAAAACTTTCCAATGAATACAACGTATTTTTATGCGACCGAAAATTATTACGTAACAAACAATCATTTTTAAGCCGTTTTCTTGGCAAAGCTTTTTGGATCGATAACAAAAAAGTGCCCTTGCTGCTAAATCTTAATGATAAAAATCTAAAAGATCAGATTGAATCTAAATTGAATGCTACATCACTTTATGTTTCTGGCAAAGGTTCTACGCAAGCTATATGTGTTGGATCATTACAACAAGATTCAGACAAATTGACAGCAAATCTACTTTCTTGTCTGGAGAAAATTCAACAACTTTATGGCAAAAATGTTCGTGAATTGGCAATCAAAACGGAAAAATCTATGTCGATTCTATTCTACATGGATCTCGGTTCGGCTAATGAAATTAAAATGGAAAAGCGTGAAGAAAATGAAATGAACGAATTTGTTGAAGAAGAATTCGATTTCATACCAAATTCAAATATTCGTGTTTACAAAGATGGTCGAATCAGAATTGTGAAACGTGATGTAGCTGAAGGAGAAGAAATGGATGATGATAGTGACTTGTATAATCTTAAAACAGTCAAAGCGATCAACACTGAACCAGATGATGAACAATGGACACGAAGATTAGTGTTTAATCTGCCGGAAAATTTACGAAAAAGAAAACTCATTCAAAGACGTCCGTTCAAAAAAATTAAAACTCAAAAATGAATTTTAACAAACATTAATTTCGTTTTTTTAATTTTTAATTAAAAAATTTTTTTTACAAAAAAAAATTGTATGTAACGTCAATTATGTACGGCTTAGACCAAGCATTAAAAAAAAAATTTGGCGCTTGTTTGCGCGCTTGTTGCTGCGCGAACACTTGTTTTGCCGTTGTGATCAACAATCGATAAATTTCGATTTTTTTTTTAAATTTTTTGTTTGACATCATTTAAATAATGGATAATATTGTTTCAATTCTAAAGAATCGTCAATATCATCTGACAGGTGGATTGCATTCAAATTCAAGTCCAATTTTAAGGCGAAATTTTCTACCTCCATCACGTTTCGATTCGCTGATGGTTGAAAAACATTATAATTTTATTGATTCTAATGAAACATGTGATTCACCGATTACTGCCATAGCTCAACGACCGAATAGCAACGAATTACTATTAGCCAATGATGTTGGCGATGTTGTTGTTATAGAAAAATCATCTTTTCGAGAATTGAAAAAATTTCATGGACATAATTGTGCCGTATTCGATGCTAAATGGCGACCCGAACATTCGAATCAAATATTGACTGCAGCTGGAGATCGTAGTATAATTCTTTGGGATATTAATCGTACCGATCAATCATTGGCCAGTTTTTTTCCTGCACATCAAGGTTCGGTTAAAAGTCTTTCGTTTCATTCTACCAATACGTTCGTCAGTGGTGGACGTGATGGTGCCATCAAAATCTGGGATCTCCGCACTTCTTGTATCCTTAAACATGGGCCAGAATTATCTATTCCTGATCCTCACATCCATATTCTGCCATCGATCAAGTCCCCAAATTTTCGCTCAGTAAAATCACGTCGACAAAATCCTATTGCATGGTCATCACAAAATATCAATTATCATCCTTCCAATGTTGTCACCTGCGTTGATTTCCATCCTATTAACAATAATTATTTTTATAGCTCTGGTATAGCTGATAATTCGATTAAGGTTTGGGATATACGTCAATGTCGACGACAATTTCAATGCACTATCCTACCTACACCAACGAAAATTCATACGACCAAAAATATTTCATTAACATCAAGTATTCATGGATATTCCTCTTTTTTCATAGCCAATAATGGACGAGATGGTTGTATATTATATGCTTCATCTACAAATGGTAGTATTTATGCATTCACCAATAATTCAACTTATCCAGTAATGGCTCTTTCTGGACGATATTCGAATTCACAAACCAAAATTTCACCATTTGGGGAAGATTATCTGTTGAGTGGCTCGATAAACAGTCGATTTTACATTTGGAATTGCAATCTTCGGCGACCTTCTGATTCGAATGATGATAATTTGATATCTATTGAAAACCGTTTACCATTGTTTGAAATGAAATTCGATCAGCATCAGGAATTGTCATTAATTTTTGGTGATTTCAAGGATCAGAACATTTATTGTGCATCCGAACCGCATGTTTTGTGGAAATGGTCGTTTGGTATCGGCAAGCATCAAAATTCTGAAGAAATCGATTATATGCATTCTGTACATCAGCCTATTCTTCAACAATTCAAAAGACCCGAAAATCATTCATCAACATTACAAATTAGCCTGAAACGAGCATCATCATTCGAAGCAATTACTCAACGAAGATCAACTAGTTTAACAAGGCCATTGTCATCCATTACTAATTGGATACATTCGGAGACGAAACGTTTTAAATCAAATAATAATGATTCAAGTGATTCACCATCATCGAAAAGTGCCAATAAAAATATCAATACTAGTATTGATAATGATGGTCAGGAAAATCGAAAGTCAAAATCAACGTCACATAAATTAATGACTAAAAAATATTCACAAAAACGTGGTTTACGAAAAAATCTGAAACGAAATCTTTTTAGTGATAATCGAAAAATTAGTGAATTTTTCTCCAAAACCGCCGATAATTCTCAATCAATTATGATTTAAAAAAACTTTACTTTTCAATAAAAATAACAATATTCTATTCTGACACCTGTGTGTTTGTGTGTGTGTGTTGAGGAAAAAAATTCAATAAATAATGTTGAAGATCTATTGAGGGAAAAACAAGATTGTCAAAAAATACAAAAAAATTGATAAAAAACAAAAATTTTTTTTTGAATGAAATTCAACGAGGATGATTTAGAAAAATGAAATTGTAATGAGTTGAAGGTTGATGATGAATGATGGATGACCAGGATACATGTGAGCAAATATTTTCAGTTCAGTTTAGTTTTTCAGATGAAAATGATGATGATGATGATGGCTCTATCATATTATAGATTATTTAATTCGATTATTCTCAATACATTTGTATTGGACACAATTGTTTCCAATCGAATGTCCTTATAGAAATCTGTCCACCATTTTCATCGTCTTTGGCTTGTCCAATGTTTATTATATTTACCGGTCCATTCGTTGAGCCTATTTTCGAGTCATATGTTGATATTTCCGATTCAGACATTCGTAAGCCATCCAATCTAAATTAAACATAAAAATTAATATACATTTGAAAAAATCGAATAAAATTGACTAACCCGTTGGTAGCAAATGAGCTCCAAATATTCATTGTATATTTTTCCAATCCTTTCAACCAATGATTAGTTTTCACACCAAAAGCAATGCTTATCTCTTCAAGAAGATTGACCAAAACTTTTGGATCAACACGATAGATTGAGACCTTCGGGCTAACCCCTTCAGCACTATTTTGTTCCTGTTGTACATGATACATTTTGACTAGTCGACATAATTTAACCATTTCATCTTTATCAAAATTCGATTGCTCAAGTGTTTGCCGTTGTGGACGTTTATGACTTCGACGGCGACGACGACGTCGTCTTTCTTCTTCTTCTTCAGTTTCATAATCACCATCATTACTTTCTTCAGCTTCTTCGTTGCTACTATCGATTTTCGAATTGGACTCTGTCGTTGTTGTTGTTGTTGATGATGATGACTTTTCGTCCATTTCTTTGTTCTTATTGTTAGCACTACAAATATTAAAAATATATACGAAATATATAATGATACAATAAATAAACGATCATGTTATTGTCGATATTGTTTATTTGTCCCAATTTCTATCCTTTCGGAACAACAATAAAACTTAGGCGATGGCGATCGCGTGTCGCCCAAAAAGTAACAACAACAAAAAATCTAAATGAATAAAAAATGACTACTGACCTTGTATTGCTTGTTTCGTCGTCTTCTTCTTCTTTACTATCATTATCATCATCTTTGTTATTATCGTTTGTATTGTTTGATGGTTTCTTTTCATCGTCTTCGTTTGATTCTTCAGCTTCTTCTTCACTATTATTGCCACCAGTTTCACCATCATATTCATAATCATCTTCACTTGAATCACCGAAACGTATATATGTGGTAATTTTATTATATTTTTCGAATTGATAGTCATCATCTGAATTGAGACCGAGCAATATTCTATATTCAAGATAATAATTATAATCCGAATAATGAGATTTTTCATATTGTTATACAATCACTTACTCATGATCAGGAGAGTAGATGTTCCATTTGTTGAACATTGTTTCCAATAATGAATCATTAAAACGTGATTCGGAAACCATATTTTTGGCCTGATCCCAAATCTGTTTAGTTAATGGATTATAATCCGGTACGAATGGTATGGCAAATTTATCTATTAAATATTGTTGACCTTCCATGAATACGATCGATTGTATACGACTTTTTTCCATACACGCTCTAATATCGCGTGCCGAAACAGTTTCATCATCACAATTTGAATCTTCCATCAAAAATGGAACACTTTTAGTATTCATGCCATAGATACCGATGTTCCAGATTCCCTGAACTCCTTGAAGAACTGCACGTTGAAAATATTTATTGGTATCTTTATGCATCAAATGGAATCCAAGTGATATAGCACCTGTTGATTGAAAAATGATATTGAAACTTTATGCTTATTGTTATCATTTTTAAAACATACCAGCACCATGACCAACAACGGTCACTTGATTTGGATCGCCACCAAATGATTTGATATATTTTTGTATCCATTCTAATGCTTTAGCCTGATCTTGCAGTCCAAGGCTGCGAAAATTTTCATTTTTTTCATTGGCAACGGATGATCCGAATCCGAACACTCCCAATCGATATTGCATAGTGATCACAATAATATCTTTTTCTGCTACCAACACTGAAGGATCTAATTCTGGCGATCCAATGCCGCCGAATTGAAATATACCACCATGAATAAAGACCAAAACTGGCCTGCCAGTTTTTTTGGCCGTTTTATTATTTTGACCATCTTCTTTGAACGGTGTCCATATATTTAGAAATAGGCAATCTTCTTTAGTTTCATCTCCCAAGCCTTTGACTTCGGTGATACTTAGCACAAAAGTACTCTGTCATGATCGAAATTATTATAAAGTTATAAATCTTAAGAAAATTCAAAACAACATACCTGATAACATTTGATTGGTTGATAAAATGCGTCCAATGTTAGATTTTTATTGAATTGTTTTAATTGTGGAGGTCTAAATCGTCGTTGATCAACTGGAGGTTCTGCATATGGAATGGATAAATAACTGGCTACTAATTTACCATTGGCAACAGTACGAACTTGACCTTTGATTTGAATGCCCGGCAATTGAATCAAAGGTTCATATTCGATCATTTCATCACTATAATATTGACGTCGTTTGCCGTCGGTTTTACTCCTTGACGGATCACGTTGACTATTTGAGAATATTGATGATGATGATGATGATGACGAACCATTTGAATTTGACACATTGTTACGATCACGTCGAGATAATATGATTAACGTGACTAGAATTATTATAACGATAACAGCTCCGATTATGCGATACCATCGTTTTCGTGATTGATTTTTTGTCGTGAATGTAGTCATTTTCATTTATTTTATTTTGGATTATTTATTGAGAATATCTTTACACGATTATAAATGATGATTCATTTGAATAGAGATTACTTTAATATACAATCTTATTAACTTTGACCAAGACTTTCAAAATAAAAAGGAAAATAGATAGAAAACAATCTGATGTATTAATGATTGATCAGAATGATTTGATTGATCACAATCTATTGATATCAATTTTTTTTGTCGTCGTTATTGTTGTTTTTGTTTTGATATTTTTATTGTACTGTTCGTAAAGCAACAAGTGGTATCTTTTAAAAGTGGTCACATTTGCTTACACCGTTTGACATTGGGGAGAAAAAACGTTTCTGTTAAATAGGAAATGTATAATGCCAAAATGAACAAATAAACAAACAAACAAACAAAACAACAGCTTACACAGGACTATCCAAGGCGATCATCTACAGATGTTTCTAATGAGTTTGTTCATTTAACAAAAAAAAAGAATTTGTTGTTGCAAAATGCTATTTGATTCGTTTAAAATGATGAATCATCACCATCATCAATTTTGGATCGATTTCAAGGTTTGATACGATTTAAAAAATGAGAGGATTGCAACAAAACAAATAATATTTTACTTTAAAATCAACAAATTAACAAACAAAAAGAGAAAGAAAATATAAACACTTCTAGACAAAATAAATTGAATTAAATTGAATGAGGATGATATCAACGAAACAAAACAAAAAAAACTGTCAACATCAATAAGAATCAATTTCAGATTGTTAGCATAATTTTCAATTATTGTCTGTTTTGCATTATTTATATTAATAAAATGATGATTATATGATTCAGATTATTTCAATTTTTTTCGTTTTTTTTTTGAATTCGTATGTTGTATAATAAAAAGAATAAGAAATGGTAGAAAAGTTTATCACAATCGATATTTTTATTTAATAATAATGATGAAAGCCTGTGAAATGAAAATTGCAATCACAAATACACACGCATATACAATTGATAATTGATTTGAATGAAAAAAAATCAAAATGAAGACAGTCGCTTAAACAATTTCAAAATAACAGATTTAACGATTCGAAAAAAAGAACAATAATTTTCATATTGATTATCAACGTTCTGTTCAGTTGACGATTTCGATTTGTCATTCAATTTTTTGTTTTACGTAGATCGGATGTAGTTTTTATTGTGAAAACCAAATTAAAAAACAAAACAAAATATTTAAAAAAAATTTCATATACTGATGATGAACGAAACAAACAAAAGAAAAACAAAATGTAGTTGTCTTCAACAATCGCAACGGATGCCACCACACTTTAATGTTTGTTACATTTCAGGATTTAGTTTTCGCATGTAAATCATTTGCAGTAAAAAAAACCTGCTAAAGCTGTTATTACAAGTTGTTGTTTAGAGATAGTAGTTCGATAGTTTAAATGATTGGAAGAAAGTGAAAAAAACGAAACAACAAAAATTCAGATTTCTCTCTCCCAGGTTTTTTATTTTCTTCAGAGAAATATTTATAGTGCCGTTGTTGTTGTTGTCGTCGTCGTTGTTGTTGTTGTATGGACCAAACTGGAATGCCACACATCCGTATGCTTGTGTGTGTTCATATCAATTAGCAAGTTTCATATTTTTTTCTATCCAGAAACTATGAAAACTAGAAAACAAACACACATACACAAACACAAACACAATCCCGTTTTATGAATGACCAGAAAAAAAGATGGCGAAAAAAGTTGGAAGCAATATTATAATAATCAAAAATGAAAATTTCCGTACATTGATAGTAACGATTGATCGATCATAATGATGATGCTCAGTGATCACAGAAATGATGAAAATTAAAATGAAAAACAGCAAAAGAAAGAGACGATATATCAAAACACGAGATATCTAGGAGAAGCTAATGGCGATCATCATCATCATACCATGTTTTTGTTGTTGATGATGATGATCATTGGTTTCTTATGATATCGTGATAGTGGTCAAACAAATGAACAAAATAAAAAAGTAAAAACAAAACAAAAAAGAGAAAGTCAAGATATAATGGCCATCGATGATTCGTATAGATATGATAGTGATGGTGGTAATATTCGTCCTCGTTGTCGTTTTCTTTCAAACATCATTTTATATAAGAAAAACATCTTTTTTACATCGTTATCTATTATACAATAGTGAAACAGTATTTATTTATTTGGTCAAGTTCACGAATTCAATTCAAAAACATTTCATGTACATACGTAATAAAATGGAAGAAGCAAATAAAAGAAAAAAACATATTGATTGAATTGAAAATTTTTTGGAAAACATTATTTACATTCAAATTCGATGATAATGTACACGGATGGATACAGAAAATGAAATGAACGAAAAAGAGACGAACTACGAATTTGCATTTATACACATCGAATAAATGAATGATGATGATATTTGAAATGATACAAACGAACCAGATAGATTACGTATGTAATATCTGATGAAGCCCATGTTGTTTTGCATTTATGGATGTTATATTATATAGTGAATGAATGGAACATTGAAAAAAAGAAGATACAATTAGCCTTTAGCTAAATACATTGATTTGACTTTATACGATCAAGTTGATGATGATCCTAAGCAATATTATCCATTTTTATTTTTTATTTTGTTTTTGTTTCGTCGTAGTCGTGTCGTGATGATATGTTTTTTATTGAAAAAAATAGAGAATGTGAAAGTGTTTTTTTTTAGATAAAGATATGATGGATTGATAATATTACTAACGAAGACAACAAAAGTTGATAGTTTCTCGACTCCTTTCGGTGTTTCTTGCTGTTACTATCTTATTTTTTCATTTTTTTCCATACAACTTGAATAATAATGATTATAAGACTATGATGGCACTCATATACACATTACATATACAAATTCGTTGTTGGATGATGTTTCTTAAAAAGAGAAATTGAAAACAAGAAAAGGAAAAAGAGTGATTCGGCAATATATGATGGTGGTAGTTGTGGTGGTGATGATTGAGAATCTGCCATTTAGTATGACTAAAGAGAAAGAGAACATACAAAACATCAACCATGTCTCTGTTTTTCAATTGCCGGTTAACACTATTCCCTTTATTTTTTGTTCCAAAATTGTAATGTTTTATTATGAAGAAAAAATCCAAGAAAAAAAGAGAAAAATATGACTATTTAGTATGTTTGTACATGCGACTAATTTCTTATAACATCGTTTCGTTATGGTAATGATTTCTGATGAAAGAATCATCAAAGTCTTTTTAGTGTTTTTAAATTCTGTGTCAAAATTTTTGAAATCTAACTTATATTGAGGATTCCATATGGTTTTTGATTATTTCCATTCGAATTGATCCTTTCAAATTGATTATATAATTTGTGGCAAAAAAAATCAATTATAAAAAAAATAATTAAATTAATTTTTGATTTTGATAAAATAAAAGCGAAACTGACATCAATCGATATTGGGTAAGGATTTCCGGTATCCTGTAATAGAAAGAGAAAAAATTTCCATTTTAGTTCCGTTTTCATTATCAATTGATGTAATTATAGTTGATTTAGCCACAAAAAAAACAAATATAACTTGATCATTAATAATTTGACGCATTTCGTTAACAAATTTAATTAAATTAAACTTTTTCATGTTATTATCAAATCACTCAATTTGATTTGAATGAAATTCAAACCATATGGAAAAATTTTCTGCCATAACAAATTCGGTGATAATGAACCTTCGGATCAATCAATAAAAAAATTGATAAAGGGGAATGAAAATCATGGTCTTCAATCTCACTGTATGTTTAATTTTGATTTTTGCAAGATTTTAAAGTTTGGAAGTTTTTGTAGCGAAAAAAACCAATAATAATAGATAGATTTTGAAAAAAAATTTAATATCCAATATTTGAACATTTGAAATGATACAACAACAACAATATTGTGGATTTAAGGCCAAGGATGTCCACACATTACATCCACACACGCGATCATCATTGTCATCATCGACATTCATATTATTCATATACAAGTTTTCGTCATTTTTATGATTTCCCTGACAAAATTAATATTTTCAATCTCAATGTTGTTTATGATGATGATGATGATGATGATACGAATTTTGATTTCCCTGTGCAAATGCTTTATTAATTTGTTGATAAAAGTTACCCTCGAAACAAGTTTTATTTATTTATTTCTTTTTTATTGAAGTTCCTAATGATTGATTATAAACAAAATTGAAAAATCAATAGTTAAAATTATTGCCTGAAATGAAAAAAAAAGTTTTGAAGTGAATATCATCAGGAAATTTTCGTCTGTAGCCATTGATTGATTTTGTTCAAGATCAATGATAATTAAGAAATTTATTATTTTATTATGGGAATAGGGAATGAAAAATGAATATTTTCTTATCACAAACATCAAATTCTAAATTCACAAAGGTTGTTTCATGTTTTTTTTTGTCATTTTTGTTTTCATGAATGTTAAATGATTTAGCGTGTGTTATTAATGTATGTTCTGTATGTGAAACCCAAAACTGGTTTTTATTTTTAGGTTGTTTTCCTTGTTTAGGTTGTTTTCAGCAAAATAAAATATCCAGGCTACAAATCTTTTTAACTTTCGTAAACAATTTTTTTTGCAAAATGCACCCAAAAACCGTATCCAAAATGTGTATATTTTTCTCTTGTTGTTGTTGTTGTTGTTGTTGTTACAGCTAATTATCATCACCGTTCGCACATTAATTCAAGGATTCTAAATAAATAATTTTCAATGTTTCGATCAAGGATAAATTGTTTCTCATGTCAGAATAGATTTTTCTCTGCATCTTTAGTTGAGAAGAGAAAAAATTCCATTTTTTTTTCTTTCATCTTTTCGATTAATTATTCTGTTGTTTTGAATTCCAAATCACATGTTTGTCTAGTTATTTTTCTTCGACATTTTTTTGACATTTATCAATATTTTTCAAAATATCAAAATTGATAGATGATAGAAAATTTTTCTCCAGAACTTTATCATTATCGATGATGACGAAAACAAAGAATAATAAGTCTTAAGTCATAATTTTTTTTTTCATTAATTTTGTGTGTGTTTAAGGCCATATTTTTCAAAAAAAAAAATGAAAAATTATATCTGAAGATGTTAATTATCATTCTGATTGTCAATCACAAAGATGAGCATACAACTGCATATATGGGCAAATCAATCAAATTATTTTTTCTAAAAAAGACCGCTACTATCAATCAAATAATCATTCAACCGAATGAATTTTGATTGAAAAAGACAAATTGTGAAACATAAATCAATATATGATTCTTTTGTTGGACGTTTGTACAAAAAAAAACTTTGGTCACAATGATTGGTCATGATGTTCCATGATGGAGCTATTGGAAATTAATTTGCATCGTTATTCGACTAAATTGGAACCTTTTTTTCTTTGCCTAATTTGGCTATATATCCTGGAATATATTGGAAATTGCAGATGTGAAATGTTTTTTTACAAATTTTGGCAAACAAATTCGCACATCCTGTGAAATCCTTGAAATAAAGACGCTAAGAGTAAATTGACATTGATGAAGTAGGAATATAAATTTTAAACAAAAAATAAACAATCAATAAACAAAAAGGAAAAAAACAAAGACAACTTAGAGGAGAGTTAATTTTTTTCGATGAAGAAGAATTATTCGATTTGTTTCGAAAACAACAAACAAATAAATCATTGATTTTCGAAAAGTAAATAATCAATTCTCAATGACTCAACGCTTGACGCATCTTCTTTAGATTGGAAATTTTTTTGAATATAAAATTTGTCACAAAATATCCAAACAATATTTTAATTTTGATTTTTAAGTTTGGTCTTGTATCAAAGATAAGAAAAAAATTAATCAAGCGTAAATTTGGCAGCAAGAAAATTTAATTTTATTTGATTTTAATCAAGTTGGATTTTAATAATTTCATCTATAATGATGAATATTGTGTTTATAAATGTTCAGCACACCTACACATACAACAACAACAACAATTTGATAAGAATTCTTGTTTGTTTTGGCCACCATCATTGTTCTTTCATCAATTCGACTGGTTTATCCGATTTTTAGATTTGAAAACGTTTGCTTACGCAGGTACCTTCGAAGCAAAACTGGATTTTTTTTCAAATATTCATTCATTGACCAGGTATTTCATATTAAAGAGAAATCAAAGAAATTATTTTGTTATTATCGTGAAATGATAAAACAATTAATTTTCTCATACCTTTTGTGAACCACAAGTTTCATAATTTGGGGAATTTCGTTCACCTAAAACAGTTGTCAATGCTGGATTTGATGGTGAACGGAGACGGCATGGTGTTTTACAAGGTGATCCATGAATATCCTAATGTAAATAATAAGTGGGAAATTTTGGAGAAAATTTTCACATTAAATTTAAAGAACTTGACATTGTTGTTATTTGAATAACCAATCATAAAAAAAATTGAAAAATTTTACAAGGTTCCGAAAATGGAAAAAATATCAAAAATCAAATTAGCGCCATATAGTGACATTGAATGGAAATTTTATCAACATAATCATTTGTCATTGAACGAATTATAGACTTAAAATGTAAACGAACCGATTATCATCATCATTTTTATCATTGGAAATTTTTTCAGGAATGTCAAGATAATTTGAGGACATTCAAGTACATTTAGCATCATTCTTATGACAATAATTATGATAATGAAAAAGAAAAGAATAGGATAATTGTTTTATTGAAGATTTGTTAATGTCGTTGTTATCATATTTGGTTTGTTAATGTTTTTATTTTACTCACATGGAATGATTCAACAACGGCATATGGATCGGCTGTTTGCATCATTTCTTCCCATTCATTAAAATATTCCATTTTACAATGAAGATGATCACGTTGATTTGGTTGTCGAGATGCTGATTCGACCATTACAAAAATTGCCACTATTGTAGTGAAAAAAGTGATCGATTTCAATTGATACATTTTGTTTATAAGTTTATCGTTGTTGATTGTATTCGAAACGAAAATAATGATAAATGTCGAGGGTTTTTTTTGTTTTATATCGAAAAAAACCAGGTTATTTCTACCCTCATTTTTTCCGATCAAAAAAAAACGGAAAATGGGATTTCACAGGAAAATACCATATATGTAGCAAAAAAAAAACAACAACAACTGATCTGGTACTTGATGAAAATTTTCCATTCTAATTAAAATTAATTTCAAAAAATCAATTATCAATTTTTCAATTGTATCCAGTTTTTTTGAGGAACAACAAAATCATTTATTTTTTCAAATTTATATTTTGAAATATATTTGTACTTTTTATAATGATTTGGAATTATAATAGAAAGTGTGAGAAAAAAATATAATTAAAATAATAACAATACAATGATTTGGATAGAACATACATACAAAAAACATATATGCGAATATGAAAACCGAAAAAGAAATAGACAAGAGGGAGAGTGAAAAAGAAAATAAGGATACAATAATAATAAAGATTAGATCAAATCAGATTAGATCATATATCGGTTATTTATAAAAATAATAATACAGAAAAAAGTATCAATTTTAAGCAAAATAAAAAAAAGAATAAGTGAAAAAATATCAATTAAGAAATTAATATGGAAGGAAAAAAAGAAAAGAATGTTACCAAAAAAGATACAATAAGTTTTTCTCTTTGCATACAAATTATCATTACTTAATGTTTGTGATAAGAAAAAATCATGATAATAAGAAAATATCATAATAATGTTATAAAGAAAGAGTATCAATCATCGAATTGATTCATTAAGAAAAAAAAATGTATAAACATTTGTATGTGTGTGGGTGTATTTGCAAGAAAAATCGGAAATAATAGTATCATTTGAATCATTTGAAAATTCTGGTTTGAAAACAAGAAACAGGTAAAAAAGAAAAAAGAGAAGGAAAAAATTGACGATCCAAGTTCAATGAAATTTATCAATAAAAAAAATCACATTAAAATATAGAGTAGAATTGAAGAAAAAAATGAATTTGATGATCGATTAATAAAATAAAGAGAAAATCAATCGATTCTATATGAATGTTTTTTTGGTGTAAACAAGAAAAGAAAAACTTGATAATTAATTAATAATAATGATAATGAATAATAATAATGAATATTCGTAATTATTTCAATATATAAAAAAAAGTGTGCATGTTTTTTATGTTAGTTTTCAATTGAAAAACAATGATGAATGTTGATACTGATACATTGACGTTGTCACTGCTGAATGTAATAAGTATCATTCAATGATGATGATGTGATTTTTGAACATTATTATTTAAACCATTCTTATTATGTGTTACGGATGTTATTGCCGTTGAAGATGGAGATGATGATGGAATATTCGATCCTAAAATACGTCTTTGAGTACCGCCAACAATCAATGATCCATGTAGATTATTATCAAATGTTGTTAATGATCGTTTCTGATTACTGTTGGATTGTTGTTGAATATAATCTTTGAGACGATAGAAATAAACATGAAGATCTTTACTTGTCACAACAATCGAATGATCGCCAAATAATGCAACATCTAAACATTGTTGATGTTTTGCTGATGATTCATAAGCACCAATCAATTGTCCATCCAAACGAAATAAGGTAACATTGAGATTGTTATAATTATCGACAACTAACAATTGATCCAAGGATTCATTAAGACAGACACCGATCGGATAATTGGTGATACCTTGACCGCCAATTTGTCGTAAAAAATCGCCATTAAAATTAAATACTTTTACACAATGATTTCGATTATCTGAAATGAAAATTTCATCTGATCGTGAAACAGCTACAGCATTCGGAAATTGAATTCGTTCTGAACAATCAAACGAATGTAATAGAACACCTTGAAGACTGAAGGCAAATACACGCATCACTTTGCATTCAACAACGACGACACGATTCTGATGATCAACGGCCAATCCACGAGGATGGCGCAGATGTTTAGAACCGAATTTACATTGAAAAATACCATTCTTGCTATACACTTGTATCTGATGAACTGGTGGCCTTTCAGATACCACAATTTCGCCTGTATTACGAGATAAGGCAACCCTGTTAGGAAATTTAAGTTTTCCATCACCAAAATGGAATTTAAATTTCCCCCATTTATCAAACACTTGAACTCGGTGATTGTTAGCATCAGCAATGTAGATTTCATCATTAGCCAAATTGACGGCTACACCAGATGGTTCAGCAAACTGTCCTTCCTGTGTTCCTTGTTCACCGAATTTCAGATAATAGCTAATACGTTCACGGCGTATACGCGGCTGAAGTGATTTAGTGATTGCTTGTTTTTGATTCAAAATGTTTAAATCATTGGTAGATTGATGTATTAATGACGGATGTATAGATCCGTTAAATGATTGTTGTTGCTGTTGATGTTCATTTATGTATGACGTCAATGTTGAAAATTCACCATTAATGTTGCCAAGAAATAATTGATTTTTTGTATCAATAAATGATGGATTCACCTCGGTACGTTGTTGTTGTTGAAAATCTAAAGATGATTGTATCAAGGGTTGAAAATTTGATGTTGGTTGGTGAAGTGAAGGAACCAAAGAAGTATGTTTTGTGGAAATATGTTGTTGGGTGTATGAGTGATTATTAGCATTTGTTGGGTGTTGTGATGACCATGCTAACATGATGGATTGTTGTTCGGATTGTTGATGATCAGAAAATTTGGCAAAATTATCCTGAGATAATGGTAGGGTATCAAAATGGCTATCAGCAGTTGATAAAAATGAATCTGTATTATTAAAAGGAATCGATTGTTGTTGATGTTGTTTGTTTATTGGAAATATTAACGCACGTATAAATCGATCAATTGTTTGCACATCGATGTTTGGTATTCGAATCGAATCAATCGATCCAGAATCGATTGTTGATTCGAGTAAATTTTTTACATTATGAAGAAAATCTGCATCAAGAATATCTTCACAATTAATATCACTTAATTTGTTTGTACTAGCTTCTTGAACATTCAATAAATTTAATTGTTCATCCAATTTATTCACAATATCTTCGATTTTGGCTTTTTGAATATTCAAATCAATCATTTTATTTTTGAAATAATGATTCAATTCACTATCAATATTCTGCAATATAGTGTCCAATTGTAAACGGCATTGAATAATAAATGAACGATAATTACTAAAAGAATCATCATAATTATTTTGAATTTCTTGTTGCAATCGTTTAATTGTGGCTAATCTTGATCGAAGTGATTGTTGAATAAATTCAATAGTCAAACCATTATTACTATTGTTAATATGGTGAACATGATTATTATTGTCTAATGTTGAATCGAAAAAGAAATGATTATCTTCATTATTTGATTTTTGAACTGAATAAAAAGATGATTGATTCGAAGTAGGTGAACGACGATTACCATTCAAATCGTAACTATCGTTGTTGAGAGAAATTTGTGAAAATTTGTGATTTATAGAAGATAAAGAATGAAATGAATCATTATTGGGCTTGGGATGATGATTAGAATTGAACATTTGATGATGATGTGATAAAGAATTCGAACCAGAAAAGTTTAAATCATTCGATGAAATAGAATGATCAACGGTGGAAATAATTTTCGATGATCCACCATTCATCATCATCAATGTTGATGTAGATGTTGGTGATGATTGATGATTAATGATATTTTTTTCATCATCAATTGATAATGATTTTAAATTGTTGCCATTCGTATCCAATTGTGAATAATCGATATTTGAATCGAAAAACGATGCTGCCATCTTTTAATCGAAGATTGAAGTAATTTCAATTTTTTAAAAAAATAAATAATTTATCCAGAATCAAATCATTTCATTGATGGATAAATAGAATAAATATGGTGACAAAATCTTGTTGATCGAACAATATTTCCAAAAAAAAAATAAATCAAATTTATATATGACTAGAGAGAATACGGGACCAAGGCATTCAAGCAAATAAACCAAAACGAAAGCAAAAAAACTTTCGCTTTCGTTTCAAAATTTCTTCTCGTTTTATTTTGGTTTATTTCTTTATTTTTCAAATTTCTTCATATGCTGTTTTGAGATTTGATAATTTGTTGTTATCTTTCATTCATTCATTCACATTATTGATCAATCATTTATCCACCCTCACTCTCACTCACTAAATCACAAGCACACATATACAAAATCACATTTTGATGATTAAACAAACTATATTTGATGATGATAATAATCATTGAATGGAATCATGATGATGATTATTGATGTTTGCATCGCAATTTTGATTGGTAACGACGACGTCAATAACGACGGCGACCACACAATCACAACAACAACAACGACGACGATAATGATATTTATATGATGAATCGACGTAATTAAAACGTAACAAAAACAACAAAATGAAACGAAGAAGGAAAAAAAATGCAAATTATTTCTGTCAAAAGCTCAATATGTTGTCATTTTTTCTTCTTCACTGATGATGGAGGGTTTTGTTTCATGTTTGATTCATTTGTTAATAATGAAGTAAATTTAGAATGATGTTTGGAATTACAATAATAATAACAGCAACAATAAACGAGATCTGAAACATATGACGGTTATTCGATGATATTATGGATGAGTGAATAATGTCAATTGTTGTTGATGATAACCGTTTGAAAAAATTGTCTGTTTTTCTATTTAAAACCGAAAAACATACACAATGGATATAGGAAAACAAACAAAATCACAAGAGAATAATAATGATCAACAAATAAACAACTAAACAATATACGTCACAATTGTATAAATCAAATTTTGGAAGTCAATATAAACAACATGTGATTTAATAATTGAATACAATGAAAAATGATGATGATGATGATGTTGGACAAATGTATGAGAAAAATTCAATCACAATAAATAATAATATTAAAAAAAACAATGATGATACTTGATTATTCAGTTGACTTGAAGAGAAATATATTTTTTAAAAGTCGTAGTAAAATGATCCAAGTTTTTTTTTGTTTTTCGTTGTTGTTGTTTGAATTATTTTTTCAATCAATCATCATATGAATTGATGTTAACCTGTTGATATTGAGAATAAAAAGATGAAAATTAGATCAATAATGAATCAATTGATTTGAATATATTTGAAATTTAAGATAGAAAAAAATGACAAACACTATTAATTATTGATGATTCTTAATGATTAGCATTGATTGATTCAATGGAAATGGAATGTTTGTGAACACAATTATAAAATATGAACATTGGCTATTGTCACAAAATTTGGTTCCAATTTTTTTTCTTTCTAGTTCAATAAATTAACAAAACAAATAAAATTGATAGTAGTAACAACTTGTTGCTATTGATTTGATCGATACCAGATTGTTGTAGTTGACAACAACAACAACAACTGTAGCAGAAACAGAAGAAAGATCCGTTTTCATTTATTTTTTTGTTTGTTTGCATTTTTAGGTTTGATTTAATTTTTCTCTTTCTCTTATATTGCTACAATTTTGTTTGCTTGTTGATGTTTTTTTTTGTTTTCTTGTTGTTGGATGAAAATATTCAACAACAACAACATTCATTCTCAATAATTATGGTAACAGCAAATGAAAAGTGAAATAGTGTGAAGGCAGAAAAAATTCCAAAATCTGAAATCAAACGAGAAAACCATATTTTCAATCGAAATATGTCAAAACATTTCTACTACTTCTCTTTTTCTCGTTAGGATTATGTTAAACGTAGTTGTCAACTAGTGTTTGATTTTGGATATATTTTTTTGACATCGTACATTGAACGATATGGATATTTTTGTAAATATGCATCAGCATATTATTCTATTTAATTAATTAATCATAACACCAGATCCAAATTTGAATAAAGTGAAAAATGGTCAACATTGCAATGTGACGGATAAGTCGAAAACCAGAAAAAAATGTTAATGATGATCGTATTTGTTCAGAAAAAATGTGACATAAATGATAACCACCAAAAACAAAACAATGAAAATGATAATAAATACGATCATTAAATGGTAAATGATGAAATTTTTTTCATGTCAGCACAAAATCATTGGTTAAATTGTCATTTTCTAGAGATCTACCAAGATCCATCTGAACAATGACAACAACATTGAATGATGATTTAAATAACCACTTGGAAATTATCAAATTTCTTGGGCTGGGGAAATGCATCGGAAATAAGAAAATTACGAATATTATACGAACCTTTAAAATTAAATGGGAATTTTTTCAATCAAAAAAAAAATGATAACAACCAACGAAACAAAACAAAAATTGCCAATCCATCAGTTTTGATTACTTCATTTTATGTCTGATATCATTCATCGTTAATTAAATTGATGATTAATTTATTCGTATTAAAAAAAATTTGTGCATCAAAATCACATAATTTTATTATGGATGAAAATTCATTCAACAAAATTAATTCACAAAAAAAAAGATTCACGAGAACAAAGGACCTAGAAAGAAAAACATAATAGCTACTAGTTGCATTTATGAGTAGAAAAAAATAAAAGAAAAGATTTACGAAGACTAGAATGAGAGAGAAAAAGAGACGTAGGGTCGTAGGTCACTACCACATATTGTAAGGTCATCTTTCATCAACCATACATACAATACACACATTGATATTAGATAGAAAATGCTCCAAAACAACAGTAATATAATTCGGAAAAGAACCAAAAAAAAAAACATTTAAATGAATGAATGACTGGCTGGTTCGTCGATCATTGATGATGATGGAAGCCGAACTACTACCACACCATTGATAATAACAGCAACGATGATGATGATGAGAAAAAAACAACGACCACTATACCAAAGATTTTTTGAATTTGTTTGTTTATTCGAAAGATAACTTGATTGTTAGTATGATGAAATCACAGATATTGATCACAATTGAAGAATTTATCTATCGTGGATCGAATTTACTTTGTTTGTTGAAATGAATAATTTATTCAATTAAAAAAAATGACGAATGAAAATGCAAACAACAAATATCATAACGACAACAACAACAGAAGATGATGATGATGATGTTATTCATTTATTGTTGCATTTTTCCCCTTTTATTACATTGAAAATATCTTTGTTGATGTATTCGTTTTTGTTGTTGTCATTGTCCGACAATGTTAGAAAAAGAGGAGATATTTTTTTAAATAGGGACCACGCCACAAAAAAAACGACAAAAAGCAACAACAACATTTGAATGCAACAACAACAACAAAGTTCGTAAAAAGGAAAAATTTCTCTTCTTTTTACGTTGTTGTTGTTGTTGTTGTTCCTTTACGATTCGTATTATTTCAATTTGAGAGTTGCCGATGTTCTTTTTTTTTAATTTTCTTTTCATAAATAAGACGAAATTGTTGTTGTTGTTGTTGTCGTCGCCATCATATTATTCGAGGTTTTTTTTCTGTTCTGTTCTGTTCTGTTATTTTTATGTTTTTGTCATCGTTGATGTGTTGTTCCGTTATACGAATAATTTTCTTGTTTTTTCATCACATTATTGTATCATCATCATCATAGAAATTTATTTATTTGAATCAAATTGAAACTTTGTATGATTATGATGATGAATAACAAAGAGGGGAAGGAAAACACAAACATAGACACACACACACCAAAATAACAACAAACTAGATTGATATTTTGTTTCTGTTGTATTTCTATTTGAGAATAAAGACATTCATAACAGGGATGAATGAATGAATGAATGAATGAGAGAAAACAAAAAAATTATGAATGAATAAAAAATATGATTATTACTTGATTTGATGAGAAAATATGATGATGATGATGATGAAAAAAATAGGCAAACAAATTCATATTCAAAATGTTCAATTTTTTTTTTGATTATTATTTTGATGCAATCATGAGGCAATTTTTTGTTTTGTTTTCGACATTTGCAATATGTTACAAAACATATTATTATATATAGAAAATGATAGAGAGAAAAAAAAATCTAAAAAATTTTAACCACTATCAATGAATCGTCGAATGATAACATACATTCGAATTGGAAAATGGAATGGAAAATTATCATTACGAATGTGAATGATTCGTGAAAAAAAGACGGCCAATTATTGATGATGATGATGATGACACATCGTATCAATTGATGATATTAATTAATTTTTCAATTTTTGTTGTTGTTATTGTTATCATATCATTAATGATAAACAGATTGAAAATTGATATAAATGTATCGAAAAACTTTGTGGATGATTTGTTCGTATTGATTTATCACATTTTGTTTTTTTGATCGTATAGTGGTGGTGGATACGGTTAGACGTGGTTGATCGACCCATAAAATGATGATGTTGTTATGATCGAAATATCAAAGAATTAAAAAAAAATTTGAATTTTCGCTTTTATTTTCAAATTCATTTTTTTCATTTCGGTTTTGTTTTTGTTATTGCTGTTTTTGTTTTTATTTTCGTGAATTGAGCTCATAATCATCAAAATGTTGATAATGCTTGATGTTTGATGATATCATCAGACTAATGACGCAATTCAAAAAAAAAATCATCAGTTGTCTGCAATATTCAAAACAAAAATAGAGAAAATACATTGCGCTATGCTTTTGTTGTCTGTCTGTTGTTGTTATTGTGGGTGCTAAATGAAAAATTGCGCCTGTCCATTTCGAGATTCGGCGCCCATATCGGCCATTATCATCATGATTTTGAATGATGATCATATTGTTGTTGTTGTTTTTTTTTGTGCCAAACTATCACGGAACTATCAAACATTTTTTCAATTTTAATATGTCAGATCATAGCGGGGTAACATGGATGGCTAAAGCAAAACATGATGATATTTTAACCCAAATATTTGGATTGAATAACACAATATGTGTGTTTTATCCATTGATTGTTTGTGCCATATTTTTATCGGATTTTGTTTTCGGTTGATAATGTCTTGTTTTTTCCTCACATAAATTCTTTGTTACATTAAATATATGAATAATGATGAGGATGATAATAATAAAAAATGTTTTGATTCAATTTTATAGAAGATATCCGTGAATCCGATAATGTTGTTTTTTTTTGTATTCAAATCATTTATGATAATCTGACAATGTGGGTTGGATCATTCTTTTTCCTTCACTATTCATTTTTTTTTTGTATCACATAATTTCCGGCAAGTTTATTTGTCAGGAAAAGTTTGATTCAGTCAATCAACATTGTAAACATTGATTGTGTCGACATAAGATTAATCCATAAACATTGATTTATAAAGATGAATGAATGAAATTATTGTTAAATTTGAACTAATCTATCTTTGTTTTTTGCATGTTTTTGGCATATTTTTTCGATAAAAATAATCGAAGGAAGTAAAAATGATCACATTTAGGTTGACAATACATCTTTATTATCAATTGGTCGAGTCATTGTCCAAGTAATTTGAGTTAATTAATTTAAAAAAAACGAATAAAATAAAATTTAAATTGATAGTTGATTACACATGTTTTCCAATCAATGAATTCAAATCTGATTCTAATTTTCAATACAAATAATCAATCAATGAATTTAACATTATTGTTTTTCAGAATTCATTGAACGAATATCCGAAATATGAAAATATTATCATGATCAATGATGTATCTGTCAAAATAAATGAATCAATCGGTCAGAGAATGGCAATTTTTATATTGTTTTTTTTAGTGTTAAGAGAAATAATTTCAATGAAACACACCCAAACTCAATGATTGAATGAAAAGCAAATATTATTATCATTGACTTATTATCGATCTTTTCTTTTCTTTTGTAGACATCTCATTTTGAGCATTCATTCATTCGTACATAAATTATCTTTCTTCTTTCTTCTTGCAATATGACCTATTCATTATATCGATTGGCATTATTTTGTACAATTTGTTAAATTATCAGACAAAATGAAAAATTTTTATCAATCTTTTCATTTTAAAAACATTAATTCAATTGTGATATTGACCTAATATGATAAATTAATTATCTTAATAGGGTTCGACCTTTTTATTTGGATACTTGTTTTTAATTCGAGGTTAATCCTATGGATAATGAAATTAATTTTTTTTTGTTGCCTCATTTATTCAAGTTTTGAAATCAATCTTGAATTGAGTTTAATTAAAATGATTGACCATTAGAATTTTATCAAATCGATATTTTTTTATTTATTTTATTCATTAGGAAGTACCGTTACGGTCGATGATGATGATTTCAATTTAGAAATTTGATTTAAATTACTTTTAAATAGATTTGAATTACAAGTTGTACAATATGGTAAAAATTGACAAAATATCGATAAACAAACGGAACAAACATAGCCAATATCTAATACTTTACGGTGACAAAAACAAGCAGCAGGTGGCGCAATTTCATGTTTCGGTGGTAAAACATATTGTTGTCTTTCAGCAGCCGATGGTGTTAAACACCAGAATAAATGTTCCAATATGGATGCAACTTTATGTATACGGATATAGCGGCCACCGGTTAAATCACATCCTTGTTGTAATACTGAAGCAGCAAATTGATCTTCAAGACTAGCCGAAACTGGAACCGTTTCTTCTGTTTCACGATTCATATTTATCGAACAGGCATCGATTAGGACATTTATTTTTTGGGCTGCAAAAAAACAGTTGATTAATTTCATATACTGCGAGGAATATGTATCCGAATGATCGGCTCCAAGGCTAAACACTAATATTCTGGAATTTTTTATCTCATTTTTATAAGAATGAATCATGCATAAAGCTTGTGCTAGCGCACCAGATAACAATGATGTTAATGTTTGCTGTATTTCGGGTTGTTGTTGTTGTGTTTGTTGATCCGATATTGTCTGTTGAAAAATATTTCGACATTCTTGAATCCATTGTAGAAAATTACGATGAAACGTCTGCGTGACCAAAGCAAATTGTTCATTCTGTTGATCTTCGATTATGATTCGATTCTGCTGTTGTTGTTGATCATCATCAGTAAAATTTTCATCGAAATACAGTACAGCGTTTTTTACTGAACTTGATCCCAAAATATTCAATCGATTATATCCGGATTGCATTAGAAATGAATTACCAAATGCGAGAATAGCATCCAAACATTGAATTAAGGTTGATTGATCAAATCGTGGTTTGAGCAACATATCGATAACAAATACAACATGCACACCATCATTATTGACGTTTGCTTTGCCATTATTAGTATTGTTATTATTGGTTATTAATGTGGCCATTACGGAAACTTTGAATTCAAAAAAAGTGACGATAATCACAATTGATGAAGGCAAAAAAAAAATCAAATAATTTGACAACATAAAACAATTTCGAATCAAATCACATGTTTATTCGAATTGGGTGTATGATTCGTCAATAGATGACGTGATTGTTGAAATGTGTTTGACATGTTGAATATTTACGAAAAATGATAAGCAATTTAATTTTTGATTTTTGAAGTTCCGCTTGAATTGAACAAACAAATCATAATCTAGTTTTTAAATTTAATGATAACGTTTTTTTTGTAAGTGAAAAACCATATATTTTAATACACCTAACAATAATCAAACAATTATGATCAATAAGAATCTCTCTCCTCAAATGACTTACATTGCATAACAAGTTTTTCATTTCATTTTTTTCACGATAACAAATACCTTTCATCAAATAATAATACAATAATTTTGAAAAGGATTGGTCAGGTTTACAGTTCATCATTGATAATGATCAAGATGTTGATGATGACAATGGAAAAAAAAGTTTGGCATATTTACAGAGAAAACAAAACAAAATTCTCGCCCAATTGTTCATTTCATTCAATATAACCTATCTGGTTTAACTAATCCTATAGCTGCCAATTTTAGCTGTTAACATTTTTTTAAAAATAATAATTATAATTATTCATCATAAAATGAAGTGGAAAAAAACAAGAGAAGATGCCAGAGGCCTGGTTCATCATTACTATATTTCGAATGTGTTCTTTTGTTGCACCAAGTTTATTCACATTCCTATTGTTTTTCCTATCATTTATTTTGCGTTTCTTCGCCAAATGGAGGGGGCGGAAGAAAAACCTGATGATGATCATGCATGATGACAACCAAAAAAGTTTTCATTTTCTCCCAAAAATGTGTTCACAGGTCATGTAAACTTTGTCCATTCCAAAGAAAAAAAACAAACGATAATAATGATAGAGGTTAAAAGTGTTGGTGAACCTTGTAACCTTTGAACTTTGATGATCATTCAAACAATTACACAAACGCACATAGAATAAATTTTCACGCTAAGAAATGCCAATATTGTTGTCATTTTTTTATCTTTACAATATTCACCGGGGTTTAATGAGAAAAAAACAAGAAAACATAATTGCAAAACTTTCTACAGCTGCCAAAATATTTATGATCACCTAAACCATCTATTTATGCATCTCATTGTGTGTGAGGAAATGTTTTATTTTTACAATTTTTTGTTTTTCGAAAAAATAATGTCCAAAATAAATGACAAACACCTGAATGAAAGATACCCATGTAGAAATGTCATTGTTGTGCATGAAAATATCTCGACAAAAGAAAAAACCCGACTAAGTTACACCAGTCAATATTTACAGTTAATGATTTATTGTTATGAAAGCATTCAGGTCATCAATGGTATCATTTTATTGACGAATTTATTCTTTGATCTCAATTTCATTTCATTTCATTCAATGAAATGATTTGGATAATATTTATCAGTTTTTCTGGTTAAGATATCATCATCATCGTCGTAATGATCATGATCACCATAGTGTTGTTTTGTTGGATATTTTATTCAAACACGATTTTTCTTATTCATCCATCTTAGATACTATGTATATTTAATAACATCCATGTAAACTTTTGGCAAATGATAACAATAATAACTATTTTATTGTAATGATAGTTTTATAAGAAACTTTAACGATAAAATTATAAACCGAACGACGACAACAAACTCCTCTCAAGCTTGGTCATCAAAATGATGATGATGATATTTTTTCAAAATGGTAAAGTTACACAACAATATAGTATAATTACTTGTTTTTTTTCTGGTGAACATTGGATTGGTTGAATGATTTGCATCGGTTTCTTTTCGGTTGTTGTTGTTGTTGTTACTATAGTTGTTTTGCCTCAATGATTTTCATCAATTTATTCATTCATTTTTTTTTTGCTATGTAATTCATGGGTTTTTTATTTCCATGATCATCATTAATGGTTATTCCAATGAAAAAAAAACTTTCAACTATATCCACAAAGTTTGTTGTCATGTTTTTTTTCCAGTTTTTGTTGTTCATTGTCGCGTTCATAAATGGTCATTATATCATTTTATTTCGATATGATTCATCATGATGATATTTTTTTCCGTGATGAATGTTGAAAATATTCATGTTTTTATCAACGAATCTTTTCAATGGAATTAGGAAAAAAAATCATTGAAATAATCGAATGTAATAATTTTGAAAATTTAAATACAATCATCGGAAGTTGATTGATTCGATTATTTTCATTTAGCAACATATAGTGTAGAAATTAATCCATTTGTTTTCGAAAAAAATGATGAATTATGATGTAAGGATTATAATTTGTTTTTTTGTTTTTAATCAATCAATCACTAATTCTCATCATTGAAGATTATAAACATGGTCAGATATTATAAAAAAAAACTATTACTATCCTTGAAATTTGCCTGCATTCAATTACATCTGCATTGACTACGAAAACTTTTTGTTGATGTAGATGAAAAAAAAATTTCATTCAAATACATTCAAAGGAATAACAAATTGAATTGAATGGAATTAAATTGATTCAATAGCAACAGCAACCAATAATCATTCATTTTATTGGATAATTTGATCCATTTTTTATGAATTGTTGATTGTCATTCGATCTGAGTCGTCTCATTTGAGCATTCTTTTTTTTGCGGATATTTTACACGAATTGAACTTCTACCACCACTGCATACAGAATCTGAGATGTTAATGTTCCATTTTTTTCCTGTTCCAAATATTAATACAGTACATTCACCCACACTACACACCAGATCAATATTTTCGATTTAGAAAGCGACAATACACTATTATCAAATGAGGATGCTTTGATCATCAAATAACGAGAAACGAGAAAATTCGGTTCATTATTCAGTTTTGTTATTGAAAAAAATTTTTCACGCGCATTGCGCCAAATTCATTTTGTGATATAAACATGCATGCATGCTGAAACTTTGAAAACTTTTCGTATTTGTTTGTTTTGTTTTTGTTTTCCTTTCACAATATATACCCAAACAGCATATTTTTCTCACATACATTGCAGACAAAGATACAACATTGAATTCATTTGCTTTCATAGGCATTCGGTTTTTTTTGGATGGTATCCTCTCTCCACTTCTCTCACACTCAATTTCTGGTCGGCTGAGAGGAGGCTTGTTTTAATATAATCTCATCAGTGTAGGTTGAAATAATATTCCTCTCTCGTTTCATTAGGTTTTTTTTTGTTGCTTGATTTCGGTTCGAAGTTTGGCCATGGTTGCATTCTGATCCGTTCATTTCAGTTTGGTTTGGTTTGATAAAAAGATTTTTTTCTAATTTGTTTGATGTTTGTCGACAATGTTTGAATGATTCACTCGATAGTTCGATTTGACAACTTTGAATCACATTGACAATACACAATAAATATTGGCCAACATACCATATTAAGTTTTTTTTCTGTGAATTCCTGTTTTTACATAGAAATTATCACGTGTATTTAAAGAACGAAAAACACAACTGCTAAATATGACAACCAAAAAGAAAAAGTTCTTATTTATGAAAAATTTCAACTTCGGCCATTAATCAAGAATTAAACTTGCCATATATCCGGTATGTTTTCAAATCTATATCGAAATAATTGATATTGAAAAATATTAATTAACAACACCCTTAATTTGTAAGAAATCATTCCATCATTTTTTCTTCGAAATCGAAAACATTCACAAACAAACTAAACATTTTCAAATTTCAAATGCATGTATTCTTCTTTTTTCTGCCAGATTTCGAAAAGATTTTTTGTTGTTGTTGTTGTTAAAAAAACATAGTGCTTTTGATTGCTGTATGATAAAAATGATAATCCATCAATCAACAGTGAAAAACAATGAAAAAGAAAAATCATTCATCAATCTTGATCTTTGATGTAATATTAATTATCATTATACAAAAGTTAGTGATGTCAATTTTTTTATATCCAATTGATTCAATATGTTCTTTGATTAGTTTAAATCAGAAATGATTATAATTTGTTCATGTAAAGTGTGTGCGTATCAAATTTCTTCTGTTTTTTTTCTTGAATCCATCCATTAATCTCGATCATTGAAATCAAATCAAAAATCATCAAACTAGATAAAACAGCAGCAACAACAATAACGGTTTTTTTCCTTTCAATATTTTCAATAATCTATCCGGAAATACATATCTATTTCTTGTCAACTAAGCATGATTCCGTTTCGCTCGTCGAAAACATCTTTGTTGACATTTCATTTTTGCTTTAACTTTTTTTTTTGTTGTTGTTTGCTCATGTCTGGGTCATTTATTCAAAACAAACAAATTGTTGACAGATTCGTTACTGTAGAATAAAAAATGATGAACTAGTTTCAGCCATTTTATCTTTTTTGTTTGATGAAAACCAAGAATAAAAGGATTGTCGTCATAGATGATTGAATTGAATAAATGCATCATATAAGTTTCAGTCTTTTGATTGTTTAGTTTTCAAGTTTATATTGCTCCAAATCATATACTAAGTCGGAAATTATTGCCTGAAAAAAAATTTGTCATGAATAGAAAAAAAAGATTAATGATCTGGATTATTTTTTCGATGCCATTTTGAGCAACAACAACAACAACAACAAAGAAAAGAATCCATTAAAACTAATGACGAAATTCATTCGAATTTTGAATATTCATTTGATCAAGATTTATTGTTATTGTTATTATTGTCGATTGAAATCAATTGGACTATTTTTTTTTATATTTTGGTTTTATTTTCTTGACTACAAAAATTCTATAGATTTTTTTTATTGAATTTAACTTAATTCTTTATATAGACAACAAAATACTATCATGAATTTAGAAGTTTAGACTTTTTGTTTGTCTTCGTTTTTTTAAACAAACAAACAAAGAAATTTTCAAAGAAATTGACTTGGAATTTTATCAAGAATTACGGTAATCCAAATATTGGGCGAGTCTTGTTGCAATAATAATAATAATAGAAAAGAAATGTTGTTTTCTTGCCATATGACATATGAAAGATTTTCTTGTTTGTTTGTTTGTTTGCATGTTATCTTTATGTTTTTTAAAAAATCCAATATTGATAAATAGTCAAAAAAGATGGTTGCATATTATTATCATCAACGAGAGGCTACTTAGAATAGATCTATGACGATTTTCCAAAATCCAATTTGGTTTGATCCATTAAAAATTGTTATGATAATAAATATTGTCATTAAGTATTGATTATTTCCATAGAGATAACTATGGATGTCATTTTCAGAAAAAAAATTTGTTATTCCAATCATAAAACATGCAACAACAACAAAAAAATTGCAAATACTGTACGTGTGATATAGAAATTTATATAGGATAGTAGTGAAGATTATATTATCATCATCATCATCATAGATCTTTCATATTTCATGTACTTTTTTCCATTTTTGTTGTTTAAATGATAAAAATATTTTTTGTTTGTTTGCTTTCCGTTGATTCAGGTGCAGTTACATAGTTATTTACTATGTTATGATTATTTTCAATCAATCACACAGTTATATTGAAAATATTTTCGGTACTTTTAGTTAAAATGATTCCAAAAACAAAAATAAATCCAATCTAAATGTATGATTGAAATTAATAGATTTTATTTCAAAAATAATTATCAGTTTGAATTGATAAAGCAATTTTATTATCGATAATAATCATTACTATCATTAATGAATTGATCAATATTATTAAGTGATTCAATTGATTATGTGGATAACCTGATTTTTTTTTGCTTGTCTTCCAATAATCCGGTATTTTATATAAATTAATCAATTTAATTTTTCTATTTTTGTGTGTGTTCCTCTCTGTGTGCAATTAAATGTTTTTTCTTCTAAATTTCTATTATTATCTTCTTTTTTTTCATCCATCCTCATCATAGATATTCCTTTTCCATTTTGCAAATTGGTTTTGCATTTTTATTATTCATTTAATGATTCATCATTGTCATCATCAATTAAAATCGATCATCAAATAGATTCGAATTGTTTAAATTTAAAATTATCACATCATCGGGCAAATGATTCGCCCATTTTCTCGTTATTCTATGTTTTTTGTTATCTACATTTAGTGCCAAAAAAAAAACAAACAAATATAGATAGAATATTCATCATGTTGTCATCATCATCATCACCCAGCATCAACAGAAGTCGTAGTCGAAAATTTTTTTCCAACAATTCAATTTCACGCCTTACATCATCGAGGATAAACATTGCCGAATATAAAAATGATTATAATTATGATAATATTAATAAAAATAGAATGAAAATGATGACAAATTCAAATCATAAGTTTTATTCATCATTTCTAATTTTTGCTTATATTTTATTAATTATTGTTACCCTTAAAACTACAATTGTAAATGGTAACAATAATATTTGTGGTGCAACAGAAAATTTTCTTTTCTGTAATTGTGATAATGGGGATAATGCCCAAGAAGCTGCATGTTTTACTTTGGGTGAAAATATTTTGGCTAATGATGCAAAATGGGATCTGTTTGCTGAACATAAATCATTAAAACGATTAAAATTAAGCGGTTATAATAATGTTTCGTTACGACAATTTCCACAAAAATTATTCAATAACCAAACATTACGTGATTCATTACATGATGTGATTCTAAGTGATCTTCAATTCAAAACATTACCAACTGGTGCTTTTAAAAATATGGGCCAAGTACGATTGATTGAAATTTCGCTAGGTTCACGTATGGAAATTCAAGAAAATGCATTCGATAATCTAACTAGCCTGGAAAAGATTGTCATGACCAAAAACAATATTACAAAATTACCAAGAATGTTTCGTAATGTTTCATCATTGAGAGAAATATATTTTGAAGATAATAATATTGTTACATTTGAACGTGGTGTATTCAAACCGCTTAAAAATTTAAATTATCTTACATTAGATAATAATAAAATTGAAACATTATCCGCTTATTATTTTGATGGTCTTGTTGAATTAAATTCATTAGATTTACGTTTCAATCAAATCAAACATTTACCAAGTCGTGTGTTTGAACAATTGACTAAATTAGAAATATTAGATTTAAGCCATAATCAAATTGAAGATATTGATGAAAAAGCATTTGTTGGCTTAATACAATTGAAAGAACTACAAATGAAATTTAATAAATTGACACATATTGGTACACAACTACGAATAATGGCCAATTTGATTGAAATTGATTTAGATGGTAATCAATTGCAAGCACTTTCTAAATATTCATTTCATCGTCCTGATCAAAAACGTTTTGTCAATATAAAGATTCGAGGTAAGTTTTTTTTAAATATCTAATCATAATTTCCATTACTGCCTATTCAATTTGATCATATTGTTTAGTTATTATCGATCATACATTTATACAAACAAATAGTTAACCGTTTCATTTGATTGCATTCCATTAGCTATCATTTGATTTTTGTTATCTATTGACAAATAGAAAAAAACGAAATTTGCAATTTGCTTCATGCAAATTGCTAAAATAAAAACAAAATATGGTCATTTTATTTCATTATATGATTTTATGATACCAAATTCTAAATGAATTTCCGTTGATTTTAAGATTCTCGAACATATATCATTTTTTTGACCTGATTTACCGACAAATTAGATATACGAATAATAATATTAATTTATATGATTTCCTTTCTGTTGTCATATTGAAATTATCAACAACATAAAATCTTTCATCCACCCAATGACCGTAAAACATTTATTGTGTGTTTGTTCCAAATTCTTTTTATCGGAAAAAAAATTTCTTTTGATTCCACATTCGTGTGATTTTTGTTGTTGTTGCTTTCTCAGTAATTTCCTGCTGTTATTTTTTCATGTATGTGTGCTTGGAATCAAAATTTGGAATTTTTAGTAGTTTGCACCACAATATATTATTATTAGTAGTCGGATTGTACAAACAAATAAAAGACAAAAGTAAACAAGCGACCGTTTTCTTTCATTTTTTTTTTTTTTTTGATTTACTAGAATATTGGTTGTGACCATAGTGACAATACTTATTTCTCATTCAAGATATATCTGAAAATTAAATTTTTGTTTTCACCGAAACCATGGCGATTATCATCAAAACAAAAATGAAAATAAAAACATATTTTTATCCTTGATGATAATGGTGATGTTTGTACAAGGATGATATTTCAATCATAAATTAAATAATGTTGATTGAAGATTAAATCTACACAAATGATAATTATTGAATTTTTTTTTCCAATAATTATCATCAATATAGAGATGAATAAAAATTCCCTTACTCGAATATACCGAACATTGATTAAAAAAAAACTCTTCAATACAATGACCTTTTGATTGTTGTCTTATTTCACAATCGACCTATGAACTTAATGTGGTAATTTTCCTTGTTCGTATAGGTTACGATCACTTTTTTTTCCTTCCTCTCTTTCGTTGTCAGGTTCTTAAATAAATTGATGTGTGTGTGTGTGTGGCATGTTCAACATCAAGTCAATGTTTATTTAGACGATCCAAATATTTTTACATTGTTATGTCAAGATTTTTTTCAATTGATTTTATTGTAGCAGTTGGTTTTTTTCATTTTTTCCATCGTACTTGGATTTAATATCAAAAATCAATGACCTGTATGATTTATTTATTTTTTAAAAGTCAATTTTTTCTTTCACAATTCTATTAATGATTTTTTTTGCTATTTAATTTACAGATAATCAAATATATTGTAATTGTCAAATATTTTGGCTAAAAGATGCATTCGAAATGAATCCAGAAAATCGTAATTATAATGACAAAATACGTTGTTATCTTGGTCAAGGACAATATTCCAATAGTCAAACTATTGTACAATATTTAATGAATAATAAAACAATTGAACAATGTACAATACCATTACCACCAACAATGGCCACTATTGATGATGATGATAATGAAACGGTACCGATTGAAACAATTGATTCCGTGGATGAAGAAAATGAACAAATTGATAGAGATTTAGTTGATGAACCAATAGATGGCGATAAAAATGTTGATGAACCAGAAAAAATTGAAAAAATCGAGGAATTTAAAGAAAAATCGGATTCTTTTGATAATAACAACAAAAATGAACCGCCACAATTAAATGTAGCCGGATTTGATCGTACTAATAAAGATAATGGAGCATGTTCACTACGTTTATGGAATTCAACATTCTTTCTATCATTATTATTGATCTTCTTGTATCACTGCCAATGAATACATTTTTTTAAATTATATAACTGAAATTAAAAAACCGCACATAAACACATTTATCCTCAAATAATGTCTACCATCAAACAATAATAATTACTTTTACAATTGTTTCATTGCAACCATTTTTTTGTTTTCTTCATTTTTCTTTTCTTTTTTTGATTAATTTATGTTTTTGTTATCTGATCTTTTCAATTAAACATTTTTTTTCTCAGAATCTTTTCTCTTACACACAAACACACATCTTAGTCAAACACATGTATTTTCTTGTCAATTCCATTCTGATTCTTTTTTTTTTTTTTTTTTTTTTTTGATTAAAAATTTAATCCATTCTATGAATTACATGTAATTTAATCTGAAAATTTTTGCATTCATTGATGTTGATTTCGATTTGTTTATATGAAATGAAGAAATAATAAACATATTAATATTGATTAATAATGAATTCAAATTCGAATATCTTCATTTCATTCCAATATTCAAATAAGAATAACAAATAAATATTTTTTCTTCATAAATATTTGTCACGATGATAATCAATTATCTAATCAATGATCGATCATTTCATTCTTTTATTTATTATGTCAACGGAATATATTTGGTACAATATGAAACAAACTAAAGAAAAAAAATTGAAGGAATGCAAATAGTGAAGAAAGATCAAGGACAAGTGAATATGATATATGCATTCTATATTTCGATCGAAATTCTTTTTCCATTTCGAAGTCGAAATGAAAAAAAAAACAAAACTAATGATGATTATCATTAAATATACCTATATTTTATATGTAAAAATGATATAAAAACTTAATTCACCACACTACGGAATCATTATAAATGGAAATTAACTTTACTAAAGTTTCCTTTTAATAAACTTTTCCAGACTTTCGTCAACATAATCATTAGGAAAATATAGATCATAATATGAAAAATTCTGTTATTGATCAATATCACGTTCATTTTTTCTCTATGTTTTTTTCTGTTATTATCATATTTGATCAATCGATAAATAAATAAATATTCCGAACTATCAAAAAAATAATGATGAAATATTGACAGAAATAGAAAATTAATTCACCGAAAAAAAACATTTGATCATGGTCATTGCCAAGTTCAATTTATTATTCTTCATCCCATAATCCAATGAATATTCTTCTGTTATGTTTCTTTTGCTCAGAAACCATTAAAACAAATGAATCAATGAGAAACGATGAATTTTATTTTAAAATTTTTTTTTATGATCCGAATAAATCGTAAAACAAAATCATTTATAATCATTATACATGTATACAAGAATAATTTTGAGAAAAACAAAATAAAATGAAATGCACTTGACAAAAAAAAACTTTAGTTCTTTTCCTATTCTAATAATATTCGAAAGGGCGTAGGCTAGTTTTTTTCATTCATCATTGTCACCAAATGGTGAAAATTGTTTTTTATCATTTCAAAATGAATTTCATATGAAAAAAAATATTGATATCAATGAAAACAGTAAAAAAAAGTGTATGGGAACATTCAATTTGGTCGATATTACCACCTTTTTTTTCTATCGTAATATCTAAATACTTAATCCATTATCAAATAGATTATCCATTATTAGAATATAGTGGGATCAAATTGAATGAAATAATAATTTCTGATCATTAACGAACTTTTTTTTAAAGATTAGTTTTCCCGAAATAAGATGCGCGCATGCCACAAATTGGAATAACAATAAAAAAATACCTGTAGAAATTTTATGTTTTTTATTTTTATTTTGTTGTTGTTTGTTTGTCTGTTTCGATTTTTATTATTATTATCATTTTTCATTGTTGTCATCGTATCATTGTCGATTTGATTGGCCATGAAGATGAACTTATTGGATCTGCGCCTGATCACAAAAATGGTAAGCTTGAATTATCCATTCGTGATTCCATTTATTTTTATTTCAGTGGGGTTTTTTTCTCTCTCTATCCAACTCTCCCCTTTTTATCATTCATTATATCTTACACTCGGAAATTATATGACAACATTCTGTTATTCTTTAAAAAGACGAATGAACGTTTGGACAAGGGGAGAATCATAATAATATTGATTAGAATACAAGATGAATCGAGTTTATTTTTTTCTTTATGACAATAATGTGATAGTCATACATAATTATGTTATTCATATCATTCAATACCTAGATTGGTGATCGTTCGGTCAGGTTCGGTACTTGGAAATATATTTTTTTCCTTTTATTTTTTCATTATTATTCTTTATTTAGACGTGTCCACAACATTTATGTATGTATTTCGGTTGCTTGGGACAGTGAATATCGAGTAAAAAATAAAAAAAATTATTGAATATTTGCGTGCCATCTCCATTCAACAATATTTCAATGTCAAAGTCAAAGTTTTTCACACCAAATAATTGGACTATTCTAAAATTTTTATTGAAATTTTTATCGAAAAATTCCGAAAAGAATACCACCAATAATGAGGATAATCGTAACATCAATCAACGATCATTTTATATCGGAAAAAATCGTCCTAAACTTCAAATCGATCCACCATCGCCATTGCGATCATTATCATCTTCACCATCATCATCATCATCGAACAAAAACAAAGATCAATGCAACAATCATTCTCCAAATTTAAGCGCATTAATATGCAGAACTATTCTGGCAATTCTATTCATACTAATCATTCTTTTACAATTTCTATGGTCATCCTGGTGCTTATGGTTCCAGATGAATTCGATGGATCCATTATTCAAAATGGCATTGTTCACACCGATGACCTTTATTGATTCTTATTTGTTCTATCATGTTTTACTGTGGCTAATAAGTATTACAAAATTGATGAAAAAAAAGACACACCAATATTTGATCGAACGTCGAAAAAGGAGACGACGAACCCCGCCTGATTTACAAACACCAGTTACAACTCCAATGAGTGCATTAACATTACAAAGTCTTTCTTTGGTTTCCAATTATTTTGATGTAACCCCCACAACAACTCCAACGATGATTATACCGACCATCAATGTTCGTTTGGCTCAAGACCAAAATGATGATGATGAAACGGGATATGAATCAATTAAGTTTATCGATGATTCGAAATCAACAATGAATAAAAATTCTAATTTAACATCTATTGAAAGAAAATCATCTGTCACATCATCATTATCGTCAGTTGATATGTTGGCAAATTATTTAAATCAATTCGATATAAGTTATTTGAGAAAACATAGCCAAGATTTGGTTACGGGAGAGAAGCTAACCACTTCGAAAGAAAGTTTGGCAACAGAATGTTCAAAATTTTATTGTGATTCAATGCCCTAATCCAAAAAATAAGAATATATAAATAATTTAAATTTTTTCAAAAATTTTAACTTAAAGTTTATTCTTGAATAAAATAAATTTACAATGAAATTCCTTTTCCGTTTTTTTTCTTCAATAAACAGCTTGCCGAAGAATATTTTTCAGTTTGAATATTTGTCAATCTGCTGCCATCTAATGTTAATAAATAAATCCCTCCAATTCGTCGCATTCTTCAAATGTAAACAAATTCTTTCAATGCTTTCTTTTTTTATCTATAGATGGAAATGCTACAAATAAGTCTGAATGCATAAGTATTGCCATCTAATTAAAAAATATTCAATCAAATATTTGTTTTCGGAAATGATGAATAAAATTAGTTTATTTTGAATGTTTTGTTTTTGTTGCAAATTTTAATATACAAAGAACAAAGAAATTATAACAAAATTTAAAGTATTATCATCATTTTAATATGATTCAGGCATTTCTTGTTCATAATCCGATTCGATTATTTCATCGGTATCATCGTCATCATCATCATCATCATCGTCTTCATCTTCGATTTCAATTATGATCAGATCTTCATCTTCATCCAAACAATTCATATCTGATAAAATTATATGATTTGATCCATGATGACCATCATGAATATCAATATCGTCAACAGTTTCGTTGATTAATGGTAAAGAAAAATCAATTTTGGTCAATTGATTCGATGAATTTATTGGGTTGATTTTAACATTAGATGATGATGATATGTTTGATGTTGTTTTATGTCTTTCATTTTGATGATTATAATGGTTCATAGATGTGAATGAAAAATTATTATAATCGCCGAACAAATTATCCGAATTACGAATCATTCCATATGAATCAAACATGGCTGTAATATCTTTATTGTCGTTGAAATTATCATGAATGCAAATCAATTCATCATCATCGTCATTATCATCATAATCATTGTTGTTGTTGTCATCATTAAATAAATTATTCGTAGGGTTGATTTTCAAACGATTTTCTATTGTTAATGATTTCTGTTCTTGTTGTTGAATAATATTCACGGTGGAATTCAGTTTAATCGTTTCAAAATTATTAGCTACTGATGTAACACCATCATTATATTTATGAACTGTTAAAGAATCATTATTCGAAAAATGTTTGGCAAAGTTCATATTATCATAATGATTATGTTGTTGTTGTCGTTGTGAAGAATGATTATGATAGCGAATAGAAGATGAAGACAGCGATGAAGAAGTTGATGATGATGATGACAATGGCATTGATGTTGTTGGCAGTTTTGTAACTAATGATGGCATGAGGGACAATGGCGATGATGATGATGAAGAAGAGCACGATGACAGATGATGCGAATAAAATCCACTATTCGGTATGACTTGATTTTGTGGATGATGTTGGAAAACTGACAAAATAGATTCTGGATTTAAATCATTGCCATTATTAATGGGTTGTTGGCGACAATAATAACAACAACAACAATGAGAATGCTGCTGTGATGCAGTTGGCTTAATGGAGCTAGTTTGTTTGCCGTCAATAGTTTTAGCTATAGTATTGTTACTATTTGTAACCGACAATGTTCTTGATGTCTCGCCTGTCATATGATGATGGAGATTTGAATTTTGATGCAGTTGTTTTTGTTGAAGATAAGGATGCAAATTGAAGGCATTACAAGATTGTTGCTGTGAATGTTGATCAAACAAAACTGTTGGAAAACTTAATGATCGATTCAACGGAATGGATGATGAAGTAAAATCTGGCATTGTCGTATCGATAAATGGTGCAGTGGAATGTTCTGTCGCTAAAGATGTAGTTGTATTGGGACATTGAAATGAACATTCAACGGGACAATCATAGGCATTATTACTACAACAGCATATTAAATTAGTTTTCGTTAAAGAATTATGATTCTGTTGGTCAGGTATTTCATTTGCTGACAGAATCGTTACATCATCTTTTGATTTTAAAATAGATTGCTGTAGTTTTCGCTGTTTTTCACAATCATTAAGATCATTCACATTTGTGTTGTTATTGTTATCACTTAGCAAACATTTTTTGTCATTATTCTTGAATAAAATATTTTCTGTAACATTATTTTCAACATTCAATAAATCAGAAGCCGTAGAGATTGAATCTTTTTGCAATAAAAGTTCTGCATCATCGGAATCCATTTGATGATTTTGATCGTGATAATGTTGATGATGATAATGATATCGATTATTATGATGATGGTGATAATGATGATGTGAGTGATGATGGCCACCAATATTATCATTATTATGATCAACATCATCTTCACTATTCGAATGTTGATGATGAACATTATTGTCGCCGAATAACCATTTAGATATTTGAGGTATATAGTCATTTAAAAATTTTGATATTTTTCCACTCCCATCCATCATGTTGTTGCCATTGTCATTATTTCTCAAATCAATGAATATTAATTGTAATGAACCATATTGCTGAAGATAATGTTTGAGCTAAATTTGTTCACAAAGAAAAAAAAAGACACAAATGAATAAATAAATGAAAGAGAAAACAACATTACAACAACCAAAATAAAATTCATTTAAACATATTTTTGTCATCATTATCGTTATCAGAAATAGTTTATTTATGAATAAAATTCGGAATTTGAATCGATAATTTTTTTGGGCTCAAGAAAAAAAACCGAAAAACTTGGCAAAAATAGGCAACAACGATCGAAAATTGAGGGCCAAATCGATGGATATGAGAAAAAAAGCATATCAAGAAAAAAACTATACTTTAAGCGCCAAATGTTTATTTTCGAGGAATAACATGCTGGCCTATGGTGTTGAGATTCAAGATTGTAATAATAACAATGCAAATTCCATCAAAATAAAAGTAATAACAACAGCAACATTAACAATAACAAAATCTCATGCAAAAAAACATTATCATTGCCCCCGTTATTCATAAGAGAAAAGGAAAAAAGATTACAAAGTTTTATTTCGCATACTTTTTTTCTGTTTTGTTTATTGATGGAAAAATTATTCATCTTATGAACATTTCTTTCTTATTCGCTCTTTTCCTATTTCACAATATATCAATAATAATAAGAATTCTATTCCATCATTAATGGCAAGATTAAAGATTTTTCATTCGATTTTTATGCTACTGTAAGAAGAAAAAAAATCAAACTAATTGACAAGTTGAATACTTAATCGACGATGAAGATAGATTTATTTTTCATTTATTTTCATTCGCTTATTTGAAGAGAAAGAAAACTTAGACGAATTTAAAAGTTTTGAAAAAAGTCTTGAATTCAGAAAAAAAATCTAACAAACATTATTCGAGTTTAGTTCTACCAAAAATTAAAAACTCAACTCAACTTGAATTTTCATTTATTAAAAATACTGGACCTAGCCATGTATGGAAGAGCTTAACATTATTCATGTCAAAAAGCTATAAAAACAAGAAATGAATTTATGCATCCATAGTGTTTGTGATAAACAGAAATTATTGTATTGTAAAATCACCCAAGGGCAATGAATACGAAATTCTAACGGAACAATATTATTTGTGGATAAGTGAGTGCACACAAACTAACGTTTATATGAAATTCATAATTACAATTTAATAATAGGCAAAGCATCCGAAAAAAAAGGAACAAACAATCCATAGGCTATACGTGCTGATGGTGTATAAAAGGAAATATGGAATACTGGTTCTCGCTCTTATCCAGTTTTTAGCCCAGGCCTTAATGTAACATAGTTATTGAATTCCGGACACAGAGACGAATAAAGATAGAATTTGAAAATTATCGGTAGAATCATTTAGGTGAGAAATATTATTACAAGAGAGAGAGAAGAGAAGGCAAATGTGCGTAAATTTGTATGGATAGTATATGTGTAAATGGGTAAAAAAATGATGCTTACATTATAACGTTGATAGCAATGAAAATAAAATGTTAAAAATGAATGTGATCCATTTGTTAATGCGAATATCAATTCAAATGGTGTTGTTCGTAATGTTTCCAATGATAAAACACCCAAAAACCAATTGAGACAAAAAAATGGTAATAATATAATACAAGCTCTTATTGATGGCCGAATCTGATGAATTTGTGAACAATGTGACAATGGTTTTCGTTCGAAATATCGTTTTAGCACCAATAATATTAAACATGTATTGAACTTTAATATTATTATATATTTTTTCGTTTAGATCAATAAGAATTTCATAAATTGTGAAGGAAAAATATTTCAAATTCACCGCATGCATGCATTGCCATCCAATGATAATCACCATCAATGAAAAATGATCCAAATTTAGGAAAATTTTGTGGAAAGGAAGGAGAAAAAGCGAGAGAGGAAGAGAAAAACATTGTATTATATCAAAGATTAATAATAATGAATATTTTTTCTTTGAAGAATCGAACATCTATTATTTTTTTCTTCGAATTTCTCTAATAACATACAAACATACCGATATTAAAAGCAATACAGGCATTATAAACGAATATTGAATACCGCCTTCAATGGACATCCAACAGCTATAGTGAGATAGAAAGAAAAAAAATGAGAATGAGAAATGAACGATAAAATATGATTAATCAAACTATACTACTCGATAAATAAGAAGAATGGTAAGATGTTTATGAGAATTAAATCAATAACTTTGTGATCAAAGAATCGATGTTACTATTATTATTATTATTATTACTTACTATCGTTTAGTTTCATAGCCTTTTGAATTGAGCAAATAGGATATAAGAACAAAAATGAACGGAAAACCCAATGAAAGGCATAAATAGTGAGCACAATTCCAAGTGACAAAAATGGAACGGAAAAAATTTTTCAAACATCCAAAAAGATTATTATTATTATCATTGTCATTATTATGATGTTTGGATTGTTGATTGTTGTCATTATGATGGTCGTGATGATGATGATGGTGATAATTATTATTATTCTGTTGCTGTAGTCGATTATTTGATGATAATGATGAAGGCAACAACAATGATGTCGATGATGATGATGATGAGGATAAGGAACATTTTTGATGATTTGTTGGTAAATTGGTTTTGATTTCTTTCAATGATAATGATGATGAGGATTTTCTATCCAATGACGATGAAAATAACAATGGTTCTTTGTTAACGTTGGACATTTCTGTTGACTGGTGTTGTTGTGAGCAGAATGAAACATTTATTTTCGATAAACTATTATCATTTTCATTGAAACAAATCGATGCATTTTTATCGAATATTTTTTTCGTTTGAATGAATTTGGATGCAACATTTTTATGATAAAATTTATGGAATTTTCGTTTGATCATTTGAAATATTGAACATCTACCATTATGTTGTTGCTGGTCGATGGATTCACATTTTTCATCCGAAATATTTGTCATCATGATCGGATGATGTTTCTGTGTTTTCAATTTTTTTAGAAATTTTCTACGGTATTCATGACTGAAAGCGCCCAATTCATTCAGTGTCATTCTATCATTCACCACTGATGACGATGTTTTATTTGAATGTCGTCGTTGCTTGGTTTGTAATTTATCCGATATATTCGTCGATAATGATGATGTTGTTGCTGTCACTGATGTAGAGGATGATGACGGTTCTTTATGACGACGCCACATTCGTTGATATAGAAGAATCGTATGAGATAACATCCAAAACATGGAAGCCAAATGAATGAAATGCAAAAATATTGGTACTGAAAGACATAAAATATGTTTAACTTGATTGGAAAAAGCTGTCGTTTCAAAACCAGTAGATAGTTGTTCGACACGGATCCAAAAAAGATCCATATGAATAGTAGTACCCAATAAAAATGTCAATTGAATCAACAATAGTGCTATGACTAGATTTCTAATGATGAAAAATGTTTCTCGTGTTTCATAATGTCGTAGTCGATATTGAATGATCAAGGTCAATGCAAAAAATATGACACTCGATATAAGACTAGTATACAATACAATATCATAAAGAAAATGATGGCTTGATGGTGCCATCGTTCCGGGTGAAATATGAAAACCGCTCGAACGTATTATACGAGCTGCTACATTATTATGTCGATAATAAGTCTCAGACGTTGTTGTTGATGTTGTATCATTTTCATTATTCAATGATAATTCAAGTAAATAATTTTTTTCATCATTCACCATTGTTGTCGTTTGATTCATATTAGACTGTGTTGTAGTATTATTATTATTTTCAATATTGTCAACTGTAACAGACCAACGGCTAACGATGCCAATCAAACCAGACTCATTACAAAGACATCGAATATGCGTTCCATTATAACTAGCCGTACGACAGCCATTATCGATCGTCCATGCATGTCTATTATATAATGATTGAATGGATGAAAAAATAGAAAAAATAAAAAAATAATTATGACAAACACAGATAAACAAAATATGTTTATTATTAGATGGTTACATAACGTAAAGTATGACGGAAAAAAATCTGAATATCCATATGGTCATGTCATTTATATATTTATAATGGATATAAAAACTGATTGCATTTTTTTTTCTTTTTTTTTGGTTTTCCTGAAACCATGAAAATCAATCAATCAATTATTATCAACATTATATGATAGCAACAAAATGTTCAGAAGGAACCAAAAAAAAATAAACCATTAAATTTAGAACAAGCAATGGATGTTATTTATAAACAACAAGAATGGTGGCATTCAATAACAAAAAAAAAGAAAAATTTAAATTTCAAATGACCAAACAGCTAGAAAAAAACTTTTAATACAGATCTATTCCCCGGTTTGTTCCCTTTTCCCCGAAACAAAAACCAAACTAAACTGAACTTACACACACACAAAAACTATGGAAAAAAGTTATCATGAATTATTAAAACCCAAAAAAAAAATTACAGGGAAAAATCGAGAAAAGCATATAGTAGGAAAAAACACATCAAATATTCAACGATGATGACAGCAATAACAACGAGCATCCCAAATACTAAGAACATCTGAATTTTTTTTTGTTTTGTTTTTAGAATCAATTCAAATCATAGATCAAAAACTACAAAAAAACGAATTATAGATAGTGAGAAGAAGAAAAAAAATTGTCTTCGGTTATAATTTACAAAACCAAAGACAATTTTATTTGTAAAGAAAACAAAAAAAAAACTGTTATGGACACTGTTCATGAATACAATACATGTGAATCGTGTTCGTAAAGAAAAACAAAACGAAAACAATCATAAAACACTGATGGAATAAATTAAATTTTTAATAGTCCAGAGTTTTCCTAATGAATCTGTAAAGATGAACACAAAAAAATGATCTAAATTCAATAGAAATCGATTTCAAATTAAAAAATTCTTTATCCAGGTATCACCTCCTCAAAATTTTCATTTGTTTTTTCCAAATTTTGATGCAGAATTTCAAAAAAAAAAGAAAAATCAGCTGTCAAAAACACTAACCAAAAATTAACATCCACTGCTGCTGTAAAAATTATAATTTTTTCATATTAACTTTATTTATAATGTCATCCACTTTTTGGCATGTTTATTTATTCTATTCTCTATATGTATTATTACAAATTCCAAAAAAAAAACTGAATGTTGGCTTCACTGTATTGCATTTTTTTTCCAGAGAGAAAAAAATTGGAATTAACAACTTTAAATAAACAAAGAAAAAAGACTAAATTTTTAAATCCACTTATCCATCGTCATCGTCATCATTCTTTGTTTGTTTGTTTGTTTTTTCGACCTCTTTCTCGCTCTAATAAGATTAAAGGTAATTTTTCGTACATCCGCGTCCATTTAAGAACCAGTGAAAATAAAATGAAAAGAAGAAAAGGAAAAATTAATCCTTCCACTTACGGACCAATGAATGTTTGGAGAAATGTGAAGAATATAATTATAATCAAAAGTAAAGAAAAAAAAATTAATGGAAAAATTTTTTTCCGGTACAAAAAAAATTCTTGGTATTCCGTTTTTTTTCTGGTCAATAAAGAATCGAAATCAGGAATAAAAATAAAATTGACCTCATTTTATTTTCTCGCTAAGACGCTATTGTCTTTCAATGTATGAGTGTGTGTGTGTGCAGTCAATGGTAAGCGATCTTCATAATAAGATGATGATGATAATAAGAACAATAGGCAATAACATTTCATCCAAAAAAAAAGCTTGATGATTAATTAAATTTAATATTATATATAGCGGGAAAAAATAAAGATGTAGATGAATGAGTGAATAAGTGTGTTCAGAATTGAATGAAATTTTTGGTTCACCATAAGAATTGTTAAATGGATAAAGACTGAAATGGAAAATACTCTCATTTAATTTCAACATGGACTAAACGAACTGATGAGTTGACCAAACTTAATAAACTTTCTGTCCAAATTCTTTTTTTTCTATAATAATACCCTTTTCTTATATCATTAACATTGCTCTAATGTCCGAAGGGTCTATTTTCGGTATAAAATAAATAAAATTGGTATTTTTATAGTCTTTGCCAAAAAAGAAAATTATTGATTGCTGTCTTTAAATTGGATTGATTGAAATGATTTTCAAGTATTTCCTCTCCTCTTTATTATATACATCACACAATTGACCAAACCAATTCATGAATATTGAGAAAAAAACAAACATTTCTCAATAAGTTAATGTAAACAAAGTTGATAGAAAAAAAATACTCACTGTTTACGATGCGATATCATCAATCGAGCGCATTGAATTGTATTGAATGTTGTCGATGATGATGATTTGTTTGTCTTGATGATAGATTCATTATAAACATGATAACTTTGATCTTGTTGTTGATGCTGATGATGATGATGATGATGATTTAAGAAACAACCATCATCCATATTACTATTATGCTGGCTAATATTTGTATCCAATTTCTCACTGTTTATTTTGTACTTATCATTTGAAATATTTGCCATCATTATTAATGTTTTATTATTGTTACAGTTATTCTTTTCAAAATATTCGCTACCGTTATCATGATGATGATGTCTATCATGAAATCGGAATACCACTTCGAAACAAGGAGCTACTTCAAAATTAACCTGTATTGATACGGCTGGTACCAATGATATTGATAATATATGATCACTTATATTCATCATCATTAATGTTGTTTTTGATAAATGTTGATGTTCATCATTATTTTGTTTGGCCATTGTTGTTGTGCTGATTGTTTGATCAAGTATATTATTGAACCAGATCTCTGTGATACCCACATCTAATTCATTCATACCTAATTTTTTCCAATGATTTATTAATGCATGAAAGAAAATTTTGTTTATTTATTTTTTTCAAATAATAAAGCTGTTAACAAACCATTAACGGTGATTGTTGAAGGAACGTCATTTAAATTGTATAAAAATTCATTTGGGGATGATATTGATGGCATCTCAGTTGCTGCTGATGATAATGATGATGAAGGCATCAATGTATTACACATGAAATTAAAATCGATTGTTTGATTTGTTTGCACTAATTTTATTAATTTTGGTTCAATTTGTCGTTGATAACGAAAGGTAATTCCTGTCAAATAAGATTCAAACAAAATGATTATTATATTTTTATTAAAAGTGTGTTTATGACAAAAAAAATTCTGTAAACATTATGAATCGATTTGAAAACATTCAATTGATGATTGATTATTTTGACCTTTTCTTCAAATTCATAATAACATTTATATGAAATATAATCAATTATTATTTACCTAGATTTTTTGTCAATGGAAAAAATGGTCGATTTTTTCCAATAATTTCAGTTAAATGTTGAATTGAATCATTTTGA